ATTAAAAAATTAAAAATGTAAGTTGTTTTATATAAGCCTTATGGTAACCATGTATTTTGTTACTCTGATGTTAGGGGCATGTATATTTACAATTGCCATATCCTCTTGGTAAATTGACTTGTCACTTATATAATGACCATATTTCTTGTTTTGACTTACAGTATATTTTGTCTGACATAAATATAGCTACCCCTTTCTTTTGGTTTCCATTTGCATGGGATATGTTTTTCCATGCCTTTCAGTCTATATGTGTCTATTAAAGCCAGGTAACCACAAACCTGTAATAGACACACACACACACACACACACACACACACACACACACACACAGAATCAAACCACAATCCACAATGGAAAATCACCAAATCTCAAAGACAGCAAGAAAAGAAGAAAGGAATAAAGGATCCATAAAACAACTGGAAAACTAAATGATGGTAGTAAGACCTCACCTATTGATAATTACTTTAAATGCAAGTGGAATAAATTCTGCAATTAAAAGACAGAGTGGATGAATGTATAAAAAATAAGCACCCTTCAAAAAACACCACCTAAACCAGGACCCAACTATATGCTCACTGCAAGAGACTCCTGACTTTTACAGACATATATAGACTGAAAGGCATGGAAAAACATACCTCATACAAATGGTAACCAAAAAAAAGGGGTAGCTATATTTATGTCAGACAAAGTATACTGTAAGTCCAAACAAGAAATATGGTCATTATATAAGTGACAAGTCAGTTTACCAAGAGGAAATGGCAATTGTAAATATACGTGCCCCCAACATCAGAGTAACAAAATACATAAAGCACTTAACATATTTGATGGGATAGTTAGGCAGTTATACAGTAATAGAAGGGGACTTCAGTATGTCGCTTTGAAAAGTGGATAGATTAGACAAAATCAAAAGGAAACATTGAACTTGAACTGTACTTTAGACCAAATGGACTAGCCATACATATATATAACATTCATCTAAGAGGGCAGAATACACATTCTTAAGTAGGCAGGAGCCATTCTTGAGGATAGGACATGTTGGGCCACAGAACAAGTCTTAACAAATATAAGATGAAATTTTATGAAGTATCTCTTCTAACTACTGAAATTAGAAGTCAGTAGGATTTTAAAAAACTACATAAATATGTGATTAAACATCCTGCAGAACAACCAATGGGTCAGACAGGGAATCAAAAAAGGAAATTAAGGTCTGCGAGTATAGCTCAGTCATATAACACTTGCCTAGATGGGTGGGGCCCTAAGTTCAAGCCCCAACATTGCAGGAAAAAAATTACCTTGAAACCAAAATGGAAACAACATACCAAAATTTATGGGATGCAGCAAAGAGCTTTTAAGAGAAAAATGGTGATAAATGCCTACATTAAGAAAAAGAAGCTAGGTATGGTGGTGCATGCCCATAATCCCAGCACTTGGGAGGATCACTTGGACTCAGGAGTTGGATACCTGGGCAAGATACTGAGACCCCATCTCAAAGAACAACCCCCCCCCCAAAAAAAAGACCTCAAATAAATTACAGCCTCCTGAACAACCAGTGTGTCACAGATGAAATTAAAGAAGAACTCAGTTTGTACAATTAAATGATAATGACAATAAAACATAACGGAACTTATGGGACACCATGAAGCTGTCCTTTGAGGGAAATTTATATCAGTGAATGGCCATATCAGGAAAACAATGGGGTCACATAAACAACCTAATGTTGAACCTCAATATTCTAGAAAAAGAAGAGCAAGTCAAGCCTAAAGCTCATACAAGGGAGGAAATCATAAAGATCATAGCAGGAATTAATGGCAGTGGAGACTAAAATAAAAAATACAAAGAATCAAGAATCAAAGAGTTTG